AATTCAGAATCCTCACCTCCACCCAGGCTGTCATTGCATCACATGCAGATCCGTGTGAGCTGACATTATTGCCGTAATAACTGCGTTTTGGTGTCAACATCACCACTGGAGGATCAAAGAATAAGCTTGTGAAGTTCACTCTCTGAAATAAGAAAGAAATAGGTTGCTAGCATGAGACATTCATGTCAGGACCCCATTTCTTTTTGTGACGCCTGGGTCACAGGGTGTCGGGTTTCCTTCAAAGCCAGTTAACTCTCAGCTAGCACCGTGGCGGGGGAGGCGCAGGGGATCCAATCCGCCCACCTCTTGTACCTTGCATTTCCGGATTCCGCACTTTTTTTCTTCCCTTCCTTTCGTCAGCCCTTTTTCGATTGCAAATTATTAAGCACCTGCACTTTCCACCCTTTAAGAACTCTCACCTCGTGCTCTTTCCTACCCCCTCCCCCCCTCAAATCCCGTATACCAACAACAACTTCATTCTTTGTACAAAAATACAAAAGTTGGATAGTTTGCCCCGCAAATAGCTGGATAGCTGGTTGCGCGTGGCGGGGCAAGACAAGTAGATGAATAACACAATTAACAAACAAAAACGGAAACCTCAAACTATTAAAAAAAGCCTTGCAGATTGCAACTAAAAATAATTAAAACGCAGAAGTTAAGTGATCTAAGTAACATGGCATATTAACATAATTAACATAATTCTCCCAATTTCCCACCCCCCTGTCATTTCCCACCAGTAGGCAATCAATGCATGATGGCATTTCCAGCTGTTGTGGATAAGATCAGCGATGCACCAAGCTATGAAACTAAAATTCATCAAAGGAAGGTTAAAAAAGAGACCAAGAACCATCGATTTATAAAATCAACTGTCATCGACATGTGCGCACGATTTGGATACAGCGAATTTCGCCCAAGAAATTTAAAATAGGCCAAGTCAGTTCAAAAGTTTAATTCGTGGGAAGTCCAGTAGTTTTGGCATTAATTATCTTCAGGCAAGAATCATGTTCCTGAGAAGACATAATGTAAGAGAAGGGGATGACTGAACACGGAAAATCATGTATATATATTTTTTGCCAAATCAACACAAATCTGCTATCCTTTTGCGTTTTTACCTTACCTGACAAAGAGCGAGGCTGTTTTGTTGAGGAGTGTTGTTGGCAAACACAAGGTTCTCCGTCAAAGTGAAGTTGTCCAGGGACACCTCGGTATAAGCCATCCAGTTCTTAAAGAAAGGGAAAACAACAGAAAAACAATAACCAGTATTTTAAGGTGACATACACTCAGCAGTTATTTGCATACTAAAATTCCTGCATTATATGTTACGCTAAACTGAGGTACTAAGATAACCTGATTGACAATGGGTTAAAAAAAAAAAACAGCCAAAGTCACGATACTCACAACTTCAATGTTTTTGTGAACTCCATCAAAAATTTTTGATTCTTTAAGACAAGTCTTAAAACCATCCTTGCGCCAGTCCTCCATCCACACGGCCATTGCATCTTGAGGTCTCTCTGGAGTCTGGTGACTAGGGGTTACAAGTATGACTGGGGGTGACAGGAAAGGCTGAAAACAATTTTAAAAAAGCCTTTTTAACCTATAAACAGACGTGGCCCAGTGGCGGTGTACTTATCTTTCTTAAACGCGCTGAAGCACCAAAAAATAACATTTACAATATTTTAAGGGTGTTTTTGTTCTTTTTGTGTCATGACCTCAGATTAAAAGGAACTGATCAGGAAATAATGGATACTTGTTTGGATTTTCCACAAACAAATAGTAAGGAAGCTAACAGCCTTGAATCCTCAAAAATTTCATCAGAAACAACTACATGAGAAGGTTACCTGTTGGAAGTTGACCCGTATGCACTTTGTTCCTGTGCTCCAATCGCTTAAGGAAGTAGTTCCTTTTTTAGCCCCAGAAGGCGCAGATTGTATTGCTATCCAGTTTACCTCTGCTGTGTTATTAGAACCATCACTGTATTCTAAAATACAAGCCTTGAAACCACTATTGTCTACTGACTCCACCCAGATGGCTCCCCCGTTACCACGAGTTGGGCTTTTGATAGAACGACCCAGAGTCGCTAGCACGGTAATTTTTTGTCCTCCATGGAAAGGCGTTGCAAATGAAATCCGCTGGCAAGTGAACAGCCTTGGGGAGACTGTGGTCACGTTTGCCTTACCAGCTCTAAAACTGGCAGCTAAAAACCAAAAACAACAAAACAACACAAGTGCATATCTAAATGAATCGATCGGAAAAGCTAATTGTACCGTATATGAGCACTTAAAAAAACTTAAAGAGCTCAACAATTGCTTTCATGAGCAAGTTAATTTCTCCCCTGCTTGAGTGCCACACCCTAAAAGCAACCCAGCTTTTTCTACCGCTTAAATACCTCTGACCTGACAAATAAAACAAAATTCATCGTGAAAAAGAAATTGTATGCTTTTATACCGTTAGTGACTTGGACAAGCAGCAGTACTGCGAAGAGGGCGTAGCATTGATACACTGGGACACGGTGCAAGTCAGACATCTTTGACTTAAATGAAGGGAAACTTTTCGTGAGCAATCCTATATGATGTGCTGTCAGTACATCACTGCATTAAGTGCCTGAACGTACAAACAACACGTAGACGATAATAGAGCTTGTTATCATTATGCCTAAACATGATGGAATGCGGGGGAGGCTGAAAAGCCTCATCTCTCTAACAATCGTTCCACGGTATTGTAAGTGCGATTGTGACACTTTGTTTGCTTTACACTTGTGCAACTGAGTTTCAGACACTGTACTGTTGTCTCAAAGCTGTAAAATTAACTCCGTCTTTGGGACTGTCAAGTTATTCTCTTGCTGTTTTGTGTTTTTCAATTTATCATCACCGTATTTTTAAATAAGAGCACTTTGTAATTTCCTGGTACAAACTGTATCTGACAATCACATTCTCAAAACCCCGAGTGATTGGTTGTCCTACGCAGAGAAGCTTCAGTTCATTACTGTATTATATTTAATTAAAATTACAATATAAGCATCATTTAAAGTATTCATGACTATCTCATTCTACATGAGGTTTGAAGGCTTAGCTGTCTCTTAAAATGAGAGTCTGGCTTTAATATTAGCTGGCCGAGTCATGCTGCACATTACCATTGCATGATTGAAAAAAATGGAACGTTACGAAAGAAAGAATTGGGCCAATTATCTAAATAAACAAATTGAGCTATTCTTTACCAAATCAAAACATTTTTAAAACAGAATAATATTTATTGTTTATGGAACTAACAGACTCTTGCGACCAATTAGAGGTGTTTATACTTTAGTTAAATTTTCTACAGTACCACGCCGACCCGTAAGCGAAAACTCTCTTGTATGAGCTATATGCAAGTTATTTCCTGTTATATATAGCCCGGAAGGATTAGCAAAAGCTCTCTTTACAGTAAAGTTCGGATTGAGAAGTTAACCATTAATTGGATAACAGACGGATACCAGAGAGAATGAAACAAGAACACTGATATCGAAATAAGCCTTATGCTATCTGGAATCGGGCTCAAGAACTTGGGAAATTAGGACGGTTTTTATAATAAGTAAATTTTCTTCAGTTATTATTATTCATTACTCAGTGAGAACCGTGTGGTTTTGCTGACTTAGGAAATCTACATTCCTTCAACGCTAAGTTGTTGATGCAAACTGGACGGTGATTCAGTTCCTGGTTAATGTATCGCTCCCATGTAAGGTAATCCGGTATTCTGGAATCCTCAAAATTTTTGCTTTTGCAGCCCAAAATCCTCGGCTTTGCTACCCGATACTTCTAGCTCTGGGAATTCGGAATCCCGCAAACGATTGTAATCCGGAATCCAGGTTCCACTGACAAGTAATCCTGAGTCCACAAAGTTGGATTCCGGAATCCAGTATAATCGGCAAACCCGGCCATGAAGTGTCAATAAAAAGTGGTTGACTTTCTATCAGAAACTGTTATTTGGGCAAGAAAAAGTGTTTGCTGCCCGCAATAACAGGGGTCGGTATTGAGAAGGTTAAACTAAGAGAAAATGGAAGGGCTTTCTTCAGGTACAAAGAAAACGGTCCGTAATAATCACTCAATAATGAGGTGTTATCTCCCAGATTGCATCTCTCCAGGGAATAGTCTATAGCCCTATATGCTCAGTGTATGCTGATGACTGTAAGACCTCTCAGATTGTTGATAGCCCTCAGCAGGACCGTGCCTTATTTCAACTTGACCTTGATAATCTCTGCAGCTGGAGTCGACTAAAGACACTAAACAGTATGGATTTTTCTTATGAGAATATCCAAGAAAAAACAGCCCTTGGAAGTAAACCTTCAGTATGTCTGACTCATCCTTAGATATTGTTTCATAGTTCAAGGACCTTGGTTTTCTTAAAGTCATAACCTCAAAAAATAAATAAATAAAGCGGTTGTCTAGGTTCGACTGCACCTGTTATCCGGAATTCAAAGCGTGGAATCCAGAATGCAAGACTGTCTTGGATTGCATCACATGGGGTGAAATGAATGTAACAGTGAGTACTGCTCCACACGGGGTACTACTCTCAAGAACAGTAGACCGTGACGGGCTGCGAAAAATCAAATGGAGTAACATTGATGTTTGATCCCACTGCTTTTCTTGTTATTTTCCAGAAACGATGCTTATAAAAAATTGTGGTCAATATTTGGAAAAATGAGTTAAGATTAGGAGTTTTGACTCGTGAGGTCGTGAGAAACGTTAAAAATCGTGAGACTCACGAAAAGAATCGAGAGAGTTGGCGGATCTGGAAGAAGCAAGCTTGAAAATGAAATTATCTTTTTTTTCTTTGTAGTTATAGAACGTCGAAACAAATGAAATTAAATAAACAGAATAAAATAATGGCTCTCAGTTATTTAATTAGCGTCCCTTGGATAATAAGACGGAAAACTGACCCCAGCCTCTAAAATAAACCTGAGCACGCAACTTTTTAACAGCGGTTATGCTGGAAAAGAAGTTGCCTCTCATGTATCTGTCAATAGAGTGTAAGTCAATCCGCCATGTTGTCTCATTTCTTTATCTTGTCGTCTCGTGGAGATACACTTATATTTCGCGACTGTATCCTTTTAAAAGTAGTTCCATAGTAATATTTATTGTGCTGGAAGCCTGGCATGTAATTATAACGCTTGAAATGGTAGTTAATAATATGATTTCCGTGTTCAGTGGCAGTCAATGTAATTGGCACCAAATTCACATCTGATTTCATCTTTCCCACAACTGTTATCCATGTATTTCTTGCGGTAGCAATATAACGAGCTGGCGTATATGTGAGAAGTTGTAGTCGGGTGCTACTCATCCAACTTTTATTGTAAGCTTTCACTGATGCCTTTGCTATGTAAGGTTAATCATATTCCAATTCGAAGTAGACAGACTGCACATTATAGTCGTTCCATCATATTTTATTTATTTATTTATTTATATCCATTTTTATTTGAATTGCATTTATTGGTACATCACAATTATCCTTAAGTTATTTTGCAGACAGAGGAGATGGTGTAAAAGGGACACCAGAGATATTTTTCCAAAAAATCAAAACTGCCAGCAACAATAGTTTGCCTCCTATTTTTGTAAGTAGAATAATTATTATAAAAAGCCTTGTAGCAAGGAACACTGTTATGTTGATATTTTAGTAGCCTTGTAATAACTGGGTACAAAGGAGATGGCTGAATAATGTAAGTATGAAATAACAAAAAAGCAGAAAAGGCAACTAAATTTCATTATAACATGAGTTGCCGGCATGAAATTAGAAAAGGAAGAAGGTGAGCCTAGCTGTTTAAAAAAACAAGCGTGGGTTTATTCATATTTTATATTGTTATTTCCAGTTGATTTTAAAGTGGTTCAGTCAGGGGAGTCAGTTGGAATCATTGTCAAAGCCCCCCTGTGAAATAGAGAGCAAAGTTTGTACCCTTAATTCAAGAAATTATTTGTACAGTATTTGATTTCATCCGATGGCAATATACTAATACATAGTTAGGGTTTGGTTTGTCATTTACCTGGGCAATGATATTGCATATTGGCGTGTCAATGCTGTAGCTCTGTGTTATCATTTCGTGGAAGATGGGGAGTGACTTGCAGGTTACCTGGCCTACCCCTTGCTGTTGCAGTTTGCCATTTATTTTTCCAGCAGACAATAACGTCAATGTATATGTATACAGCTAAGTGTGGTTGTCTAATCTTATTCTATTGCTTTTGACTGTTGATTGACATGAAGGATAATGTCAGTGAGAAGAGAATTCTTGAATAAATGGCCAAGGTTGTGTTAACTCTCTGTATGAATTGTGTGTCTATTCCAGAATGTCGATGGGGTCAATTTTATCTTTATTAAAAGAAATGGCCTGTATTTTGTCTGCATTACAAAGTTCAATATCTCACCAGCTTTTGCAGTTGAAGTTCTTACCAGGTAATAAATAAATAAATAAATAAATAATATTTTGCTCCTGCATAAATGAAACCATGCTTTTCTCCATTGTGTAAACATGGCATATTGCTTTGCTTCCTGAAGATATTCACTAAAAAAACAAACTAGGTGATCAAATAATGAAAGAATAATTATTGAACTCAGTTATTGAAAAAATAATAATAATGATTTGTCAATGTCTCACAGATCAAATTATTATTTGCCTCAGCCTGATCTGCTCGCCACTGACAAATCACAATATGTTGCTCAACCTTGTCCAATAATTGTTAAGCATTAATCTGATTTCTGTTCATATTCTTTTGTTAACCATTGGTTATGTAATCTTCAGGTGTTAGGCAATTTAGCATAATTTGATCCACTATCACCATTCCAAGGTCCCGATTTCTCAGGCTGTTTTAAATGTTCGTTCTAATGTTTTAGTTATATAATTAGAAATGCCAATCATAACTGTGGTAGTAAACACCTTAACCGTCACACCCATGCATATCCATGGCCCTAATGTACCACTTGTGATGTCATCAGGCCCACTCTCAGAGTCATAAGCAACTGGCACCTTGCCTGTACCTTAACAAGTCCAGGGAAAAACCTCTCACACTATATACACAAGTAAACATGATTTAGCCTTAAGGTCTGGAAAACAATGCAAAAAAGGATAAAGAAAAGGAAAAAAATTAATAAGCTGACCTGAAAATTTCAACATAAATACAGTTCCATACCCACCTGCATATCCTCTAAAAAGGCAATCTTAATTTTATCCTAATAAAAATTTTGCTTGAGACTGAAATAAGGCCTTACATGTACTTTTGTGCCCTTGAAAAGAAAAGGAAAGTGCAAGAAAATCAAAAGAAACAGGGAGGAGGGAAAGTAAAATTCATGTAATATCAATGGTTTTGTTAATTGGTAGCCTGAGTGATCAGCAGTTTTTTCGCTAGAGTTTCAGATTTGTGTAAAGATTATTGTGGTGTTCTGAATGAGGAGTCAATCAAGTCTAATTTTCCTCTTATTTATGAGTTACTGGATGAAGTACTGGTGAGTTTTGTTTATTTTTTTTTTCAGTAAAACAATTAAGTAAGATAGTGTACATTCCAGTGTAACCCCCTTTAAACCATTCCAGATGTATAAGCTCTACAGAAAAGAGTAGATTTAAACTCTTTTGGTCAAAAATTATGTACAGATTTGGGCTGAAATATCTTCTTTTTTTTTTTGCTGTCTGAAGCCCTGGTCTGGAACTTTTCATTTAGAAGTATTAGTTTTTTATTTTATAATAATAATATATATATATTTTTGCTTCTTAATAAGAAGAGTCGTTTAAGGCCTGAAATAGTTGGGTAGGGTTTTACAGTGCTTTGAAGCTACGTTTTTTTCAAAGTTGCATTTTGACAACCTTAAATAATGTAAAAATGATTCCCAGACACACATGTATTATATTGGTTGCCAGAAAAAGACATTGGGTGATAATTACATTATGTCATGAAGAGTTAAACAAGTAGGTAATCAATTGGTTGCCCAACTACTGCAATCAAATTTGAGGAACAAACAAGATGTCAAGACTTAACAACTAAACAGCCAGGGTGGAAAAGGAAATTTGTTACAAATAAAATGGAGCACAAATAATATCTCATATGTTTCATGATCTTAGTGTTACTTTAATTTAGAAAGACCATGATCTAATAATGATCTAATACAGTTCGGCACATGACATACACTGTAAAATTGAATACTGCCACACAGGCCTCACCAAATTGGTATCTTTCTCTGCAATTTTAGTCGCAGAAACTTTCTTTACTCAGCAATTGGCAACCAAAATAGTAAACTGCTTGGAGCAATGAAAAAGATTTTCATACAGTCAGCATACCACATGCCCTCAGGTCAAGGTCAAACTTCAGCTGTAATACATGCAGTGCAGTACATGAAATGATGTATAAAACAATATGCTAACTATATAATTTTTAATTTATTGTATATCAATCTTATATTCCTTTTCACAGGACTTTGGCTATGTGCAGGTCACATCAACTGAAAGCCTTAAAGCATATATTTGCAACCAGCCAGTGGCCACAGCATCGGAAGATAATATACGGCAATGCACTGGAGGAACTGTGGTGTGTGTGATATGTCATCTATTTTAAATGTAACTTCCTTTGCAAAAGAAAATAGTTAAACTCAAAGTGAACAAAGGATTGGGATAAAATTGAGGCACAATATGTTTATTGAAATTTTGATAAACATGTACATGTATTTAAGTTTACTTAAACCATCTCTGATTGTTTGCATCTAAATTAAGAATGTATAGAAATCACTCTAAAATTGATTGTCAAGCAATTAGATGTACTGATTTTGTATTGTGCTGTATCATCTGTAACCCTATCTGACACATTTGATTCAAGTGTTTGAAGCGTACCCTTGAGTCATATCTGTAGGATAATTATTTTCAACAATGATATTGTTTCCTGAATTCTTTTGCCAATGAAAGTTAATTGAAACCATCAAATCCATCCTCAGTGGAATGTAAGACGTATGTTTATTTGTTATTTTTTTATTATTATTATTATTTTTTTTTTAACAGGGTTGCTATTTTAATTTGCAATAAACTTCAATTTCCCTTTATTCCTTTAAAATCCTAAGAAATTCAATGAGTGCTATCCAAACATTCTGTGAAAAAGTTTTCTATTGGATTTCAACCATTTATTGATTTTTATAAACTGTACATATGTAAGAGTGTCAGCTAGTACAATGTATAATCTGCCTTAACATCTCCTCTAGTGATCAAGTGAAAGGGCATATATTTTTTCTCTGTTCTTAGTTTGGTGTAGAAAAGATGTCCTTGCCCAGCACTGCTGCTAACAAACCTGTTGTTTTAGGAAAGGTTGGTATTAATTTTGTTTATTTGAATATTGTGAGCTATTTTGCAGTTTTAGCTCTCTACAAGAGTAGCCTGGGACCAGGCTCCGCGAAAACGGGGTGAGCGAAACAAATTAAACTGAACAGTGGATTGGGGAGGGGAAAAGGGTAGTGGAACCCTCACCAGACTACCACTTAGGGAGCCCTCTCCAATTTTTCTCTTTAACCTCCTCCACGCTCCCTACTGCAGAGTCAGTCCCAGTCTATACCAAAGTGACGTATATACTCTTTTGCTCCAAGATTGGTTTTGAATACCCTGGGTACCAGAGACTTTTTATACTCTACATTTTCCAGTTTCATCAAGTCTTTATAGTGACCTATATGAAAAGCTTCACCACTCATGGTTTTGTCCTGTGGGCAAGACCAAGGTAACCCACCACAAAAAAACCTCTGGTATCCAGCTTTAAATTAAAAAGACCTTAAAGGAATAATAGAAAATTATAGACAACTTTCTCAGAATAAATTTAATGATTATTAGCACTTTCTTTTGAATTAGTGTCCTTGTTCAAACAATGCTAATATGTACAGCCACCAACTTAGTTCAGTTCTGAAGAGCACTGGTCAGCCTAGTGGGAGGTCATGTTTAAACCTGGTTGGACTGCTATAGCAATGAAGATCCTGCTAGCTGTGTTTAAAAACCTGTTCAGTTCATATAATTTCAGTATTTAACAGCATCAGTAAGCTACAGGCCTTGTCTCCTTCATCCTTATATATACATCAATTTAGAAGAAGACATAAATGATCCTTGACATTGTTCAAAAAGGGTAGGGGATATAGACCCTAATGACTTCATACATGTAGTCAATCTGACTTTCATGGGGGTGGGCAAGATCTGTACAGATCTGTGAGATCTGATCAGATCTGTACAGATCTCACAGATCTCTACATTGTACAAATCTCAGCAATATGTACTGAAGCAATATGCTCATGTTTTAGATCAAAATGGTTTCAACCTAGGTTGATTCTTATTTTTTTAGTTTCTTTGTTTCCAAACCATAATTATCCATAATCATGACTGATTACGAAGGGCAAGGAGACAAAGGAAATTGAAAATCAACTACTTGTAGGCTAAAACCATTGTAACCTTCATTTCATTTTGACCTGCAACACTTACATCCGATCTCATCCCTGTTTCCTTCGTGATTCAGTCGCTGGCTACAGTGGGCCCTTTCTTTTACACAACGTTTAGGTCCCCCCCCCCCCAAAAAAAAAAGGAAGAAGCATTTCCTACCCCTCACGTTTTTAATGAGAAATGGTATCACTAGGGAAGCTTCTTAATTTCTCTCTGATTTGTTAAACATAACGTGTGCTGTCTTCAACAGAAAAGATCCTTTTCTTGTCTCTTAGAGAAGTTCTTGTTCATTTACAAGTGTATGAACATTGCCTGCCAAAATAAGTTTATTTTAGTACTAAAGAAAATTTAATAACTTTCCTATTGACTGAAGTGCTGCCCTTTCTAAGCACCCCTCCGTTGACTGTAAATTTAAAGATCGGTCAGGCTAGCTAGTTTAGGAAATATAGTGTGTAAAATTGACATTCCTTCTGGTTCCATTTAGAGAGGAAACAAAAGTGAGGTGTTTATGGATTTACTGGAGAGACTTACAGTGTTGATTAGTTCAGATGTAAGTGATGTATTTACGTATAAGTGGGGTGCGCTCATTACAACAGATACTGTATTTTCATTTGAAGGGACGTGCCACGGAAGTTGAGTAAGTATAGTCGAACCTCTACACCACAACGGACACCTTGGGTACAGAAAAAAGTGGACATTGTGGAGAGGTGGCCGTTATGGGGAGGTAGGGGTGTTTACACCTGTATATAACAATTTGTTTTAGGGAGTACAACATGTTTTTTGTGCAAAGTTCATGCTTACTGTGTCCCATGGTAATCCAGTCATACAGTATGATTATGGGACACAGTAAGCAATTTATACTGCTGCATTAAGCAAAAATTGCTACTATACTTATAGCGAATGTTGCGAACTATGCTCGCGTTTTGTCACGTTTTAATATTTTGATTCAAGACATAATTTAAGCTTTTTGTGTATTTTATCTCTATACGAGCATAGTTCGCAACATTCGCTATAAGTATTGTAGCAATTTTGCTTAGTGCAGCAGTATAAATGAAACAAAAATCAAAATACGATAGCCCCGATTGATAATAAACGTGCCAATTCGTGACCATTCTGGACTTTTTCATCAGTCGCGAAAAAAAACTGGCCGTTTTCGAGAGGTTATTTTGGCAGTTGGGGACACGCGTTAGTGGCCGTTACCGTTGTAGAGAGGTGGCCATTTGTGGAGGTTCGACTGTATTTAGATTTGATTCTACTACCTACCCACACTTTCTTTCAAAAAGTTCAAGACCCTCGCGAAGTTGGTAACCTTTCCAACGAAAATGAAATCTAGTAAATGCCCAGCCAGAAGCGATAATTCGGCCAAAAATGAAAAGCCTCTAACTACTTTTGTCCCAACCTTTGGAAGCTGTAATTTTTTTATTATCAGGGACACGACGTAGCGTAGTGCTCGACTTCGAAGTAAGGTTTTACAGCTCAAATAACTTCAAACGGCGTCTTTTCAAAAACACTTTCAGAGGGGGAATAAATTAATTTTGTCCATATGTACCTTCTTTTGGATTTGCTGTCTGCAGAGTTTCCTCACCTCTGTTTTAAAGCTTTTTTTTGGCAGTTACCTCTACAACCCCGGACAAAAGATTTGGAACACTTAGTCGACTTCCCCCTCCCCTTCACAAAGTCGAAAATCGCTCAAGCTTTCCAAAACTGCGCTTGTTGACAACACTGCACGTGGACGAGGGGACTGTACTGAGCATGCCCAAAAATCGGAAGTGTTCCAAGTTTTTTTTTACTGGGGCTGTAGCTCATTTCCGTTTGTTCTACTTAATTTTTCTGTATCACTTGAGGACGAATTTTAAAGACGGCTTTGAAAACTAAAACAAGCTTCAATGTGTAATTCACTGTTAACATTAGCAGGGTATGTCCAGTAATACGGAAAAGAAAAGGGAGAGAGACCTTTATCTTAACTTTTGTTTCCAGGGAAACGTTTTAAGAAGTGAAGTAGACGGTTGCATTCAAATGAAGAGTTTTGTTGTTGGAAATCCTGAAATCCGGATTGGACTGACTGATGATTTCTTCGTCGACAAATCCAGCCTTACGTCTCAAGGTAAGTAGACAATCTTACTGATATGTTGCTAGCTGAACTTTTTCTGAAGACTAAACTTTTTGCTTCAGCAGACGACTAAAGAAAGAATGAAGGTTAAAGGCGATAAAGTCAGTTTCCATTCATTTTAATTCGGCAAATGGCAAGGTTGATTTTCAAGGATAGACGCGCACAGATTAGCGAAATGTCACCGAAGACTCATTGCCCAATTGCAGGAGATTTTGAACTATTAAAACCAGTTAGCTTTACGTTTAGGAGCAAATTTCTACTAAGTGTAGATTAAGGGTGACCTTGAAACTAGAAACGACAAGGAAACCGGCATCTGTTTACTCTCCATTAGGCTGTTTAGAGCTCCATTTTTTCCATAAGATCAGTGTGATGCAGCTCTTGCTGTAACGGGCGGCCACCTTGATTTCAAATTTTGGTCGGATTCCGGGACTGGAGATGAACCACATTTTCCGGAAGGTTGCCTCCTAGACCATCTTTTTTAGTTTCGGCCGAACTTTGCGGAAATTTTAGCTTAATGGAAAGCACTTTCATTTCCAACCTGCCTGATAGCTACACCGTGACAACTGTCATGTCTAGACTCAAGTCGAGATATAAATTGTTACTAGAGGCTATTAGATGATAGCTACGCACGTTTGCAAAGTGTATGGAGAGCACCAATTCTTATTCTTTGCTTTGTAGACAGTGTTGCTGTAAGGCTTGACAATTGTATATTCCATGAGTCTGTCGACTTGTCCAACTTTGAAACAACCAGAATACTTGTCGTAAAGCCACCAGAAGGCGAGGTAAGACGCTCTTTCTCATTTGAAGCTGAAGGCTGCGCATTCTTGAAACAACACCGCCACTAAGTTATAACCGTGGGTACCAGAGGTTTGTGTCTCGCGTGCGGTGGGATGTTTGGGTGTCGGCCGCAGGCCGCGAGCGGCGGGAAGAAGTCTCTGGTACCAAGGGTACTGAGCTGATCTCCATAACTGCGAAATTACCACCCTGGAGTCTCCTTTGAGTAAGCTCCAACTTTGGTGTAGATTCAGGCCAAGTCCTTAGGTATCTTTTCTCTGCTTTCAAAACAATTATCGTCAACTCGTTTATGTCCGTCGGAAAACGGTTAGTAAACGGTTAGTAAAAGCCGGATTGGATTCTTGAATTCTCCTTGTACTCCTTCGAAATCACTGCTGGTGTCCAATACTAAGTTATCTAGCCCTCGCCAGAACTATCGTGTCCTCTAGTTGTCTGACGTAAAAGCGATCAGCATGGTAAAAGTGATCGTTAATTTGTCTAGCTCTGAAATAAGTCGCACCCAAAAACGTCTATGAATGGCATGTTTTATTCCTCCTGTTTTAACAGTTTATCGTCATGAAGTACAGACTTTCCGAAGCACCACAGTCAAGCCTTCCATTCACCCTGATTGCTTTTGTCGATGAAGATGAAGATTCCAAGTAAGTCCATGTGTAAATTACACCGACTATGTAAAACCGCAATAAAAATTATTTTGTCACTCTTGTCCTTTCTTAATGCCAGAGTCCCCGCGATCACATTGAATAGGCAGCCTTTGATACTGGGGTAATCAAAAGGCTTCTACATGCTAACAGGTAATGAATATTTGCTTTTAGGGTTCTTGAAGTTGTGCTCAAACTTAGATGTAACGTGCCTACATCCAGGTAATGCAACGAAATAAAACAACATATGGATAACTGTAGAGTGGTTGACGTGGCCTCTGTGGCAGACTTTACAAAATTTTAGCTCCAAGAGCAATTCAAAAAGGTTCTTTTTTGTGTTTTCATTTCNGAGCGGCGGGAAGAAGTCTCTGGTACCAAGGGTACTGAGCTGATCTCCATAACTGCGAAATTACCACCCTGGAGTCTCCTTTGAGTAAGCTCCAACTTTGGTGTAGATTCAGGCCAAGTCCTTAGGTATCTTTTCTCTGCTTTCAAAACAATTATCGTCAACTCGTTTATGTCCGTCGGAAAACGGTTAGTAAACGGTTAGTAAAAGCCGGATTGGATTCTTGAATTCTCCTTGTACTCCTTCGAAATCACTGCTGGTGTCCAATACTAAGTTATCTAGCCCTCGCCAGAACTATCGTGTCCTCTAGTTGTCTGACGTAAAAGCGATCAGCATGGTAAAAGTGATCGTTAATTTGTCTAGCTCTGAAATAAGTCGCACCCAAAAACGTCTATGAATGGCATGTTTTATTCCTCCTGTTTTAACAGTTTATCGTCATGAAGTACAGACTTTCCGAAGCACCACAGTCAAGCCTTCCATTCACCCTGATTGCTTTTGTCGATGAAGATGAAGATTCCAAGTAAGTCCATGTGTAAATTACACCGACTATGTAAAACCGCAATAAAAATTATTTTGTCACTCTTGTCCTTTCTTAATGCCAGAGTCCCCGCGATCACATTGAATAGGCAGCCTTTGATACTGGGGTAATCAAAAGGCTTCTACATGCTAACAGGTAATGAATATTTGCTTTTAGGGTTCTTGAAGTTGTGCTCAAACTTAGATGTAACGTGCCTACATCCAGGTAATGCAACGAAATAAAACAACATATGGATAACTGTAGAGTGGTTGACGTGGCCTCTGTGGCAGACTTTACAAAATTTTAGCTCCAAGAGCAATTCAAAAAGGTTCTTTTTTGTGTTTTCATTTCCTGTCTCTTCTAGCTGTGCTAATAACATAGTCATGAAGTTACCAGTGCCAAAATCGGCCGTTAGTGTGTCCCATAAGGTAACATCCGGGACTCGAACAGCAGAGTTCAAGTCATCTGAGAAGGCCTGGTACTGGAACATAGCAAAGCTACAGGGTGGCTCAGAGATTTCTGCTTCTGTCAAGGTAAATCAGTAACAATAAGAAATGGTTTGTAACGCTGCGCGACTTCGGTGCGCAGTGTTGAGATCCGTAAAAGAGGGTAGCAAACGCAGTTACAGCAACAAACCAGACGGGAAAACTGATTAATCAAGTTTCTTCTCTCTTTTAGGTCCATATGGGTGAAAAACGAAAATCTGCTAGAAAGGAGATTGGTCCCGTAAGGTAAGTTTTGAAGAGCGATTAATTCCTCTTATTTTTAAGTACTTTGTACAGCGTAATGAACATGCAGCACCATAGGAAAGTAGTAGTCTTAAGCATTCATTTGAATATTTACGCTTTAGGATTTCTGTTCAGCTTTTGAAAGCTGCTAGCAGACGAAGTTTTAATTTGGAGATTTTGAGTCCAAATCTCTCGTTTGGAGAGTAGAGAGCACGTGACGTCGTAGTCATGTACGATAAGTTCTATGATATGAAGTCCCACTTTGTAAATCACCTTTAAATAGCTTCTAACCGTATTCTTATTTCTTTCGTGCTGTATTTCTTGTAGGGTAAATGAAGTTACCAATTAAATACATTCTCGTTATTACTGTTCTGCCGTTCATAAATACACTCATATAGTGTTCTTTACTTTTCGTAATTATTTTAGTTTGGAATTTGAAATACCGATGTATATCTGCTCTGGACTACAAATTCGATACCTGCGAGTACAGGATCGCGATAAAGCCTACAGTCCCTTCCGCTGGGTCCGGTACATTACTCACAGGTGAAATTTCAAATTTATTTTATAACCTTAATCCAATGTGCCACGTTCTAAGTGTTAATCAAAAATGTAATGTTGTAATGGTCTGTACCTGGTTTTTCAAGGGAAACGAAATTAGATTTCAGATGGGGTGAAAGGACTCCAACTTGGCCCGAAAAGATGAATAATGCTTTCCAGTTTTCGAGGTACATGTAAATGTTTCTAAAGCGAGGTGATCTCAACAAAATTCGCTCTTAAGCGCTTTCGTAAACAATAGCGTGATGGTAAAAAATCGAATGGACAGACGTTTAAATTGCTTCCTCACTTGAGAAGAGAAGTAGTACTTTTCTGTCAACTCGCCAAGTTAAAAAGATTTCTTGTATCGTTCACCGCAAGTTCAGACAATGGTAGCTCTGTTTGCCAAAGAAAAGGCGTTCTTTTCATGTTGCCTCCTGCGCGCAATAAAAGGACTGTTTTGTTAACATACACTTCTAGTGGACAAAAGACATAGGAAATAAGCGCGGAAAGAATTGTTGACGGCGCCACGGGCGGGAATTTTCAGGGGTGCCAAGCCCGGGAAAAATGTTTGTTGTGAGCGGTGCCCTGCGCTGGGCGGAAAATGATGAGCGTTACAGATTGCCGTTCACTTTTTTTTAGTGATTCCTACGTAATTCGGATTTAGCAGAGGACCGTGATTATGTGTCACAGATGATTTAACAAGGCCGCGACTATGGGTCAGAGATTGTCTCGAGCAAGTTAAACAACTGATGCCCGCAACTGAGTTATTAAAGTGCGTTACCAGTACGAGTTGTTTCTACGTCCGTCTGGAGCCTCCTATGGTAACCATGTGAAAGGATTCACGTTTTCCGCGCCTCTCAACAAGTGAAGTGACCCAAAGGAATAATTACCAGTAGATGCAATTGCTTTCAAGTTCATTCGCCACTGACAACGGATCGGCGACTTCACCAGACGTAGCACACACATTTTCTACTGTTGACTCCGATGTGGTTTTATATATTGATTTTGTGGATGAAATCCGACAGTGTGACCATTCATGTCAAAGGAATGCTATTTAGCAGTTCTTTCGCTTTCACGATTTTGGCGTATTTAGACTCCGCATGAATCGAATAAGAGCTTTGTTGAGCATGCGTTACATGTTGTTAGTATACAGTTTCGAACCCAGGCCCTAATAGTTTGGCGCTTGGTACAGCAGGGTTCAGTTATGACCATCGGTTTATCAATAAACAGAAGCTCGCACCCGAAAAACCACTTTGACCAGAGAAAGTAAGATTGACTAGTCCAGAAGGGCGGGCTGCGGCGACTTCAAAAGCTTGACGAGATTCTGGAAAAGCCCCCTTTTCTCCTCCCGCTTTAAGAAAACTGAGGACAAAAGGAGGGTCTACTCTCAGGGTGTGGCCGTATGAAAAGAACACCACAGTATATGAATAACAGCGTAAAAAGGCTTTGTCTATTTTTTCCAATAATAGTTAGTGAAGAAATCTTAATCACAGATTTATCCTTGATTTTACATATATATATATAAATATTTTCACATGTATGTCATATTTAGAAAGAGCTCTGATAAATGTATACATAAAAATGCACAGCTTTTATGTTAACCAGCTCAAGCTGACAAAACTACGTTCCGTGGTTAAATAAAAGAAGAAACGTTACTGTCAGAACGAAAACGGCTTTTCTTGCAAATAAAAAGTCAGGAAATGCTAGACATTCCTGATAAATCCCAAACCAAGACAGGTCTCTTAATGGCCGTAGTGCCTCCACTGCAACTTTCCTAATATAGGAGAACCCCGCCTAACGGCCACCGTGGTAGTACGGTTGCCTCGTTAGTACTGCGGCTTTTTTTGGCCGCCCGGCAAAAATGACCATACACTTTCTTAAAAAGAAACCCTCGTTAATACGGCCACCTCGTTATTACGCCCAAATATTTTTGGCCCATTGATGACCGTATTAACGAGGTTCCACTGTACCAGTACACATGCAGTTGGCGACAAAATGAGGCACTTCCCATAAAAAAGAAACGGGGCGTCTGTTAAAGTACAAGTCCTGTTGTCCGGTCGAGATGTTCTAAATGGAATACTGCATACCATCCATGATAGTGGCAGAATTTTAAGGAAACCAAACGACAGTGGCAGATGTTAAGGAACTTTCCGCCAAAGTTTACCTTCCTTTAAACAAATCTTTTTTGTACAAGACCTTCCCATGCACACCCGCACTCGTTATTAAGAAGCTTATCCGCAAGGGGACGGCAAAACGTTTGTGTGTGACAACCATGACAGGGCTGTTACTTGCGCGTTTTTTCGTGACCTTCACTTGTCATTACTGTCTCCTGGTCTTTTACAAATTAAAATAGAGACCTTTAGATTCAAGGACGAGAACGACTACGAGTACGAGATTTGACTTGAAGTTTTTTCGCGTATTCTCAAATTATAGACTCCTTTGAAAGCTTCATTTGACCATTTTTCACTAGAAAAGTTAGCACTGTTACCTTTAGTGAAGAAGGTTGCACCCTCTCCCGATCGCGAAATGATAAAACTGTTAACATTTGATATCTTGTTTCCGCTACTTCGACATTCTCGCTAAAACTCGTAGTAGAATGACGACGGCTACCACGTTTTCCCGCCAAATGACGCTGGTTCACGCGCGAGCACTACTTACTGTAATACCGAGAAAATCTCGCACTCGTAGTCGTACTCGTCTTAGAATCTAAAGCTTTCTAATATCTGTTCAAAGGAAGATGACGATTTGTTGGAATAGTTTTTTTCCAACATAATTTTTGTCACTCGCTTGTCACATAAGGTTTGCCGTCTTCTTTTCCGTGCCTTCCTTTTTCTTTATTTTAAGGAGATTAAAACGCGACGACTTGAGACAAGTCTAAAAGTTGCCGACCAGTTTCCCGATGAGGTTGATAAAAGACACATGCTACCACTAAGGGAAACATAAGCGCCCGTGCGCGCGCACATACGTTTGTTAAAAATCCATCCAATCAGGAACTTCGTTAGTGGTTTTCTTATGACGCGTCTCGCACGCACCACGAGAAATTCCATGGAAACATTAAAAAAACTAACGGATTAGAAAAACTGCAATTTTCTTTGTGAGTTTACAGGCATGGCAAGAGTTTTCCCCTATCCGTCAACAGAACCTCCAGCCGAAACAAGTTTGCTTAACTTTCCAGAGAAATTATGGTGGATAGTCAATAATCCCAAACGTGAAGAAATTCACTGGAATTCTGAAGGTACAAGTATTGTTATACCAAACACTCGAAAATTTGTCGACGAGATTCTAAATAGTCCATCGAGTGCGCTTTTCAAGACGAAGAATTTCTCGAGTTTTGTTCGACAGTTAAACTTGTATGGCTTTCGCAAAGTCACTGAATACCCCAAAAAGACAGTACATTCTCCACTTTTGGTACCTTCCAAGTGCGAGTTCAAGCATACTTTTTTTCGTAAAGGAAGGCGAGGTAAGATGAACGTACTGTTTTGATGTTTGTTTGTTTGTTTAATTTGTTTTGTTTTGTTTTTTGCTAAAGTTGTTCATGTCTGTTTTCTTTATCGTTCTCTTCTTTTGTTCTGTTTTGTTTTTTGTTTTGTTTCATTGTTTGTTTCCTAGATCGGTAATCAGGAAATCAAAATCGTTTTCGGGAATCCGGCGAAATGTCGTTGGTTTGAAATGCACGCCTGAACTCAAACTAAAAACAAAACTGAGTGTCCTAAATTACATCCTTCTCAATTCCTTGGTTTAGTTTCCGCTTTTAGACTTGTGGCTCTCCTAACCAACTCACCGATGACCAGGCAAAAAATAACAAACAAACGAATTGCATTAAAAGAAAAGAACACTTTTTCTATATTTCTCTGAAAGCAGCTTTTGGGATTGTGATCAAAAGTCTGTACATTTAGATTATTTTGATATCTTTACCGTAGAAAAACAACAACAACCGTAAAACCTGGCTTGTGCGCTTTTTCTCTCTGCAGATCTCTTAGTCAACGTTAAAAGACAGTTATACACACCGAGAAAATCCGAGGACAAGCAACAGAGAAAACCAGCCTCTCTCTTCAAAGAAAAACAGTCTGATTCCATTTCGCCGACCCTCTCTTGGAATCCTACTCTGTATACACCTATGCCATTTATCCCCTGGCAAGCTTCGTTTCAAATGCCGCTCACTCTTTACGCGCCGTTTTGCAATGCATATCAGTTAGCACAATTGCAACAGGGACCTGTTGCCAGTGGACTGGGGATACCTGGGCAGCTTCAACAGAGCCCCACGAATACCCAAATGGGAAGTGATGGGTGTGTAAATTCTGTTTCCTCATTTACGCCACCTCAACTAGGGGCTGCTGGAGGTGTTGTGTTTTTGCCATCCCATGGAAATCTGCCCGCAACAGCTACTTCTGAAGGTAAATTACATGTATTTCTGATCAATGTACTGCAATTCGATACAACATTGTAGATCAATTAGTCGATGGATTGACTGTGAGAAGGAACATTAACTGTTCCAAACTGTCGGCTGCTTTGAGTGACACACAGTCGATTTATATGATTGAAGGACGTCAATTGATTGACTAAATGAATGTGAGAGAGTGAATGAATTAATCAGTGAACGACTTTCTGAATGGCTAACCAATCAACCATCTCATCAACTGTCTCGTTCACTGACTGGCAGGCTGACTATTTGACCAATCGACTTTCTGGTAGACTGACTGGTAATCTGATCTAGCTGAATCTCTTTTGACCTGCGGAACATTAAATAAGCATATTTACCGGCTATTTTAAAAGTATTTTCGGGTGACTGACCGACCGACCTACTGCATATACACCTGACAACCGTCCTGGTAATGACCAAATTACCCATCAACTGACCGGCTGACTAGCCTGTTCCAGGCGTTCCAATTGTAAGGACAGAGCAAAGAGATGTGAGCAGGAAAAACAGCGAGGGGTTGGGTAGATGCCCTCTCCCTCTCTCCCTTATTTTTTTCCTCCGCTCTCTGGCTTCGCGCCGTACTCCACTATCTTAACGCTTACAACAGGCTACTGACTGACAAGTGTGTAGTATGGTTCTTACCTGACTCGCGTCACACTGATCCCCGGCCCATTTTCAGTAGCTATGTACTGACTGATTGTGAAAACTGTACACCATCCCTTTAGGTGCAAATGGTCTCAATTCTCCGCTAATGACAACATCAACAGCAGATGCAGGCACAAACTCTGCACAAAACGCTCACCCAGAGAGCAATGTTCCGCTTTCCACTTATATCGTAGACACTGATTCTGGTGCTAAGCGCACTGACCAGCTTACGGGGCAAAGCAAAGCTGATGTAGCGAGTGATTGTTCGACAACAAATAGCAGCTTCATCACAGGATATACAAGTGCTTCCGTCAGTAACAAGCCTACCTTACCTGCAGAAAATATCACCTCTGTGTCATTTTGACATTCAGCACATGTATTTATGAACAAACCATGGACTCATTTCAAGCATACGCGGATTTTTTCGTCATGAAGTAAAGCAATGATAACTGCGGTATTTAGTCACAAATTTCTGTCACAAAGTAGCTTAATGTAATAAAGATATTCGTACTAATGCAGTTTATATAAAAAATAAAAATTGTTTAAAAACTGACATGGTTGGCGAATTTGTCGTGTAGCGCAAAACGCGCAAATTACGTCTAACAAAAATGAACTCTTGCGCAAGACAGCAATAGTTGGGAAACAGAGAAAATTTTACCCCGAATTTTGTTCGACACAGCGACTGCACTCCCACTCGATTTTTCTGTCAAAATCGCCACCTAATAATCAAACTCAGTAATCCTACTGGTATTTTGAATTACTGCTGGATACAAACACCAGTGACGCATCTTTTGTACATATATAGTTAGCCAGTACGGTGCTTACTCACAACTCATCCGCTCTCAATTCATGACTGTATATATTTACCTCACATCAAGAATAACCTTGTTATAATGCATCATTAGTAGTTTTAGACCCCGTTTACACGAGTCCGGACAAATTCAACACCTGAACCGGGCAAGTTTTTGCAAAGTTTGCACGGTAAAAGCCTGGAGCCAAGTTACGCGTCTTTGATAAGTCGCACTTGTAAACAGTCAGTACTGCAATGTGTGACAGAAGCTACACGGTTCCATTTAAAAGGGTTCACAAGGTAAAAAATTCGTCCGCTTAAAAATTTTAAGCGAAAGAATTTTTTTCTCTTTGAACCCTTTTACACGGAACCGTGCAGTTTCATATAGTTCATAGTTAATAGATTGGAAGGGTTATGAAACCCATCAGACTCTTTTGTTATATGTTTTTGTGGACCTGACGGTACACAACGTTCAATAGCATTCTCATCATTTTGATCTTACTGGCCAATAAAAAAAAATGACCATCTTCTGATCAGGTCAAAATTTGCACACTTTGCCGTCGAAAAAGTTGCGCGGATCCGTAGGTCCCGCGTAAACAAGAGGCAGCTCTGTGCAAGTTTTCGTCCGTTCAAGAATTTGTCTGGACCGGTGTAAACGGGGTGTTAAAAGATCATGGTAAACTCTGCTGTTTTTTGCACCTGCGTTCTTTCGCCCAAAGAGTAGGGTGCAAACTGGACTCCCTCAAACAGCTGAAAATCGTGCCCTGGGGAACTCAAAACTAGAATCACGTTTAGTTTAGTTGTCGTTTGTTCTTAATTAAATCTTCACAAAGTAGGAATCTCCGAGTTTGGTCCAGCTATAAGAATTACTTTGGACAATTTTTATCTGCTCATTTCATTATTTGACAAAGTGTCAACTTGAATCTCACGATTGCCGTTCGTCATAAACGTGACCCTTGATCTCTCTATTGTGCTACATAGGGCGCATGCTAAGGAACAGCAGCAGGCACAACAAGCGTAATTGCGGTCATTTGGGCGGGTTTTTGAGCGCGTACGTGAAGCACGCGCCACTCTCGCGCTCCAAAGTCCCCCAAAGCGACCCCAATAACGCGTTGTACGCGGTACGGTTGTGTCGGCAAATGAAGACAGGTTCTGCATGAAGTCAAATCTTGAAAAGGAAAAAAAAACATCTTCACAGACAGGATTTCTAAAATTTTACATCCTTTTATTCAACAAGGGGTTTTTTTTTTACATCACCTTATCTTTAAACATTTACTCTATGTGGTAAAATTCAGAACTCAGCTGAGTAACCGACTTTGTTGCTTTTCACTCTTACTCCGTCATCACAGCCTGCGCCTGTCATGAGTCAGCAGAAAAATAAGCAATACTCGTGACGCTGACCAAAAGAAAAGCGGGAATAAGAGTGATTTCCTTGTTCCGTTAAGCAAGTTAAAATGTAATAAAAAATCTCAATGTTAACCTTACATAACCATTACCAATATTTCATACGAAAATACAGAAAATTGTTAAGATTTATCATAACAACGTCGAAGTTAAAGCTTTTGAAAGCAGCCACCATAGGTGACGGTTGATCATTTTATAGACCACCCAATTATAATTTAACAGGCAGTTGTCGTGTGCACTACCACTAACAATCACTTTCATCTCGGCGATAACGTGTTTCTTACTGCTAACAAGAGAGAATATAATGGAACAGAGGGAAACGCCCAATCTAGCACTTGGGATATGTGAATTTCACAAAAGTTGCTTTTACACTAATTAAACAAGTGAAATTAATCGGAAGTTTGTTTCCGTAGAGGTCCGCAATCTTTTATTCAGTTTTGTCAAGAGAGAATTCAACAGGGGCCATTACAATATTCTGCAACAATAAAACAACTGTACAGTATTGTTTGCTTTGAGGCAGTCGCGTGTAAACTTGATGACGTTTCAAGCAATCGATTAAAATATGCTGACGTCTCAGGAATTGCAGTTCCGTTTAATTACAACCTTTAAAAACAACTTCAGTTCAATTCACATATCCGGCCAACGTCCCTCTCGCTCCAATTATTCTTCCCAGCTTGCTGCCTGCCCTTAATCAAACGGATTTTCCATTGAACTAAATAGTAATATCAAAGAATACGAACATTTTCTTCTTATTTTGTATTGTTAAGTTACCGTCTATACCAACTCTCGACCTGTAATCGAGGTCAATCTGAAACTCATTTCAACCTTGCTTCCAGTTTCTCGCACTAGCCCCCACCCCCACCTTGCTTAATGTGTTATTCGTAAAAAATGAGTGTGAAGAAGTTAAACTGTCGTCAGTTATGTCTTGGTCAAGTCTGTGTAAGTCAGTAACCATGAGGCACATACTTCTACAGGAAAATAAATCTGCATGTCGTGTAATCTGCTACTTGCGTTGCCGTGTCTTACTTCGATAATTTCGCAGCTATCAAAGGAGAGTTTATTCGTTAACAATGGACCGATGTGTCCGCCTCTCGTTTTGCCACATAATAAGTCTTAATCACATACACAAGTAAGAATTAGGTTGTAGTTGGCGGAGGTGAACCTACAAGGCTAGTTTCTATGATTAACTCGCGGGGATATCCATATAGAGACCTCAAACAGAGAGACTGGGAATCAGCTGAATATCATCCTTTGGGTAACCAATCAAAAGTAATTGGTTATGCTGATTGCCCTGATAAACACTGAGTTGTAACAACCAACGCTAGCTATATAAACTCTCCAAGTTATTGTATGACTGTTACGTTTGTGGCATAAAGTTAAACTAGTCAAACAGTCCAATTTGTTACAAAACGTTCCCTTGTATTTGTTGTTTACTTTTAATGTTCTTTCTCTGTCTGGAAAATTAGCTGGTTTTTCTAAATTTTAGATGCATATTCAAAATTGAGGAACAAAGGCCAAGACATTATCTGCTTAGCCGTTCTCGGCACCAGTCCTTACTTGAAAAATTGAATAAAAATGTCAAAAATCACCCAAAGACCTGGAGCCGAGAACAAACAGCAGTATGTCTTACATCGTAAACCTCGCAATGAAACCGAGGCAAAACATTTACTGGGAAAATTCACATTGCGAATATGAATGTCTTGAACGATTCGAATTACTCGCACTCTTCACTACACACAGGAGTCTGGTGTTTACAAAGGTAAATACACAGGTCTTTGATGGTTCCCATTTTGTAACCACAGCGAGGCACAGCACACTGTTCATAGGTCATAGGGTCCCTGCAAACTCTTTTGCACTTTTTGACATGGATTTCTTGCTCATCGTTAGACTCCTCGCTTTCTCCTTCCGCCTCAGTCTCCTTTTCTTTGTCATCTTTTGGCGCGTTACCGCTGTACAGCTCAAAGTCATAACCGCTGGCCACTGGGGTTAGAAGTCTGCTCAAGCTTTCGATTCCCTTTCGTATCACTTCTGCACTTCCGCTTTCCTCTGACTCGTCTTCGTTGTCACCGGAAGATGCATCTTCGATTTCCGACTTTTTTGACGCAACAACGTCGTTCATTTCTTGTTGAGCGCCGCTAGCCTCTTCCTGTGAACCACTTGAGGGCTCAGTTTCTTGAATGGTACTCTCCTCAGATTCTGATCTGTCGTTATCATCGTCTTGCTGTTCAATCCCTGATCCTGAACCAGATTCATCCATGGATCGTCTAGCGGCGTTTTCGTCTTCAATCAGTCCCGAGCCACTTGAATCTTCATCCTCTACACTTTCCTTCTCACTTTTCTTCTCTGTAACGTCATCTTCATCGTCGTCGCTTTTTTCCTCTTCGTCATCATCCTCTTCACCTTCATTACCGTCACCGGAAGTGGGACTACTATCAGTTTCTTCCGCTTCCGCCTCATCGTTGCCGGAAGTTTCCTCGCCTCTCGAATCGGAACTCTCCGATTTGCCTTGGCTCTCGTACACGTGACTTCCAGAGCCAACGAAAATGTCTTCGGTGGCGTCAATTTGTTGAACTCGTTCTCGTTCTTCTTCTGACATGTCATTTGAAGTAGGCTCTAGCGGTTCATCTCCATTGCTCTGAGTATCATTGATTTCTCTCGCCCTTCTCAGCAATGCCTTCCCTAACTGATATCTGGCAGTGTTAAATCGATTGGCACCTGCGTGATAATACAGGGCCGCGACAAACACGCTTAGCAGTAGTGGGAGACTCGAACGCATCCCTGGAAAGGAAATAGAAATTTTTTTAACTAAAATTCGCCACTTAAGAAACGAGAAGGGAACTGGAGCCGAAAGGCGTCCTCTAATTGTTTCTGGGATCGTTACTGGGGACGCGCCTGTCAGCTATTAGTCAATTAGCAACATTTCCAGAACTCTTTGCGATCTTTAACTCGGCCCAGATCCCATCTCGATTTAAAGTGGCAAATAGGAGAAAAATAAAATAGGGAAGTTAATGTTAGGAAATGTTTTATAGTTAACGTCTTTCTGTAGTTCTGGGTCCGGTTGATTACGTCCCGCGCCGACTATCACTAACGCATCCGGGTTTAAATTTTACTCCAGGTACCTTTTTCTTTTGCTAAAGACTACTTTTCATGTTAATTTTCGCTGGCCAGGTAAGAGCGTCGAATTGTCAAATTGTAGGCAAAGAGAATTTACAGAAATATACTTTGTAAGCGTTCACAGTTGAATTCAAATCTCTCGCACACCCTGATTATGTAAATAGGAAGCTTAAGCAACTACGACGACGACCACAACGACAACTTCAAAAAACAATAGGTTTAATGATCAAAACAACAGCTCTGCACGTGCATCAGGCTTTTTAGTACATTTCTTTGACGTCCACTGCGCGACTACGACGTGAAACCTTCTAATTTGACGTTTTATGGAGGACGTGGACATACGACGACGAATTCTCCTTCCTCTTTTTGAACCTGAGAAAAATCCTTAAGAATTCNGAAACATGGAAAATCGTTACAAAGAAGGTGAGTCAATTTTTCTTCGCTTAAGCTGACATTTTAAGCGAGAAAACTCCGTATTTTGCAAAGCATCTTTTTGCAAAACAAGAACTCATTACGCGTGCAAGACTTCGTGGACAAGATTTTGCGACTGGTAAGAATTTCTCTTTTAATCAGTGCCATGCAAAGAGTTTTGCGTTTTTTCTGGGGAAAGTTATTTTATAAAAGCAATAGAAAACTTTTTTCCTGTGTTTGCATATAGCCTGATATAAACACTCGAGGCGTTGGGAGAATTCTCGACGGTTATGCAAACCCTCGACTTCGTCTCGGGTTTGCATAACTGTCTCGAATTCTCCCAACCCCTCTCGTGTTTATATCAGGCTATGCAAACGCGGAAAACGTTTTCTATTGCTTAAATAGTTAACGTCTTTCTGTAGTTCTGGGTCCGGTTGATTACGTCCCGCGCCGACTATCACTAACGCATCCGGGTTTAAATTTTACTCCAGGTACCTTTTTCTTTTGCTAAAGACTACTTTTCATGTTAATTTTCGCTGGCCAGTTAAGAGCGTCGAATTGTCAAATTGTAGGCAAAGAGAATTTACAGAAATATACTTTGTAAGCGTTCACAGTTGAATTCAAATCTCTCGCACACCCTGATTATGTAAATAGGAAGCTTAAGCAACTACGACGACGACCACAACGACAACTTCAAAAAACAATAGGTTTAATGATCAAAACAACAGCTCTGCACGTGCATCAGGCTTTTTAGTACATTTCTTTGACGTCCACTGCGCGACTACGACGTGAAACCTTCTAATTTGACGTTTTATGGAGGACGTGGACATACGACGACGAATTCTCCTTCCTCTTTTTGAACCTGAGAAAAATCCTTAAGAATTCAACTCCAGGAAAAATCTCCTGCATTTAACATATTGAGGGGGTCCAAATAGATGCGATTAAGTTTGAAAGAACGTAAATTCATTTTTTTTTTACCGACGTTTTCACTGCCGTCGTCGTCGTCCTTGCTTAAGGTCCCTGATATCCTACTTTAGACAACCCGGCCCTTCTTGTCTGATTGCAGCGTGACCGTGGCCTTTAACTAAAACTCAGTTTGACAGATCATCCATGTTGCCCTTTTGTGTTTTTAGAAGGGGTGGGGTGGGGGTGAGGGTCCACAATGTATTTTGTAGCCTCAGTATATGTTACATGCTGTCCTTTTACTTTCCCTCTCAAAGTCACTTGAATGTACAGTTTGGATTTCCTTTAACCACCCTAATAATTCGGACCAAATCTCACTCCCCTTTCCCCATTCAAACAGTAGTTTACTCTCAAGTTTTTTAATCTCTCGATAATAGAGTACTAAAGTGATGACGTCATAAAATGAAATTTCTGAAATTGTAGGATTTGTCAGGATATTCTGAGAGAACAATGTCCAAGAGGCCTACTTAGCAAAAATGAGCATTTCGGGACAAATTGTCTCTAAGATGTTAGCCGGTTATACTCAGAAAACTCCATACAAACACTTCTAATTTGTTTTTGGGTCGACCCAAGAAAATTTAGAAGGGTTTGTATGGAGTTTTCTAAGCATAACTGGGTTACGATCTCAGAGACGATTTCCCCCGAAATGCTCATTTCGGGGGAAATCGTCTCTGAGAGCAAGTAGGCCTCTTAGACATTGTTCTTTCAGAATATCCTGACAAATCCCATAATTTCAGAAATTTCATTTTTATGACGTCACACTTTAGTACTCTATTCAGTGAACCACTTTCCTTTATCCGTCAGGAGTTTCGAAAAAACGTGGACGCGGTTTATTTCGTCCTCCACATTTTGAGAACGAATTTTGGAGTCAGGTACTTGGGATGGAAAGAATAAATCGAAACATAAAATTTCCAGTAATGGTCTTCATGACCTCCCTCTCTTTTCTGTACCCGTATGTCCTGATACTATTATTGTCACGATATCTTGTCTTTGGTTTACAATTCTCTCAATAGCTGTAGTGTTTATCTTTAGCATGTTTACTCGTCTACGATCGTAAATATCTGATCCTACCATCTAACTACATTAACTCTAATAAACTTCTGCAAAAAAGAGTACACAACAAACGTAAACTGAAGTCTCCCTTTGACAGCCACAAATCTCCCAGTCGGGACGGTACATGATTGGCTGGTTCTCAAAAAACGCTGATGAGGGAAAATGTCGAGTTTTGGAGGTGGCGGTGCTTTTCGAGAAATAAGAGTCTCTCAAAATTTTACTCAGTCTGTCGAGATTGAGGGCCTCCTGTCTCTTTCCCACTTTTTCTCGAGAAAGTTATTAAGTCTCTATTTAATGGTTGATTGCTTCAATAGCTGTCGTTTCCACAGTATCACCTGTACTCCATATTAAATGACCAAGTATCCTTTTCTGAATTTGATCGGCACTGTGACTTTCTTTGATATTAACTGAAGGTGTCAATAGGCTCTTCTTATTTTTGCAGTTCGAGAAAAACTCTCAGATTCTCGAGCACAAATGTTAAAAGTTCAAGAGTCTGCCAAAACACAATTTCGCAATTCAAAACATGACGATGAAAAGTCTCGAATTTAGCATCCGCCAACCCAATCTAAGTATACTTGAGTTTTAAGATTAGACGTCATATTTCTCGGGAAAAAATTGCTAATTATTCCAACAAACAAGTTATCCCGATGGCTTCTTCAAAACACAAGAGAAGTAACCACCCATAACCTTAAGATTAAAATTAGATTATACGAATGCCATAAGAGTGTTTCTTTTTTCTCCTACAATCATGAACTAGATAAGTTAACCAATTCTAACAAGTCAAAAGAAAATACACCGAAATTCCCTTCCTAGAAAAGAAATATGAAAATGTTTTTTAAAAAAACTCTCAAGGGCTGCACTTCTCAGTTAAAGCACAGCTCATGGCTTTGCTTAGATGGACCTGCTAAAATATGAATCATTTAAAGATTTTGTTCCGGTCACTCATTTTACAATCCCGCCACAAGAAAAATCAGGATTTCACAGGAGGAAAGCTAATCTGCCCGTTTTCGAATTGAGGAAAGGAAAATTCAGAATTAACGCTTTTTAAAATAGCCGTAGGCTATTCTTGTTGAAGGAAAAAATACCACCTATTGTAGTCAACTTATGAGTGTTATTTGCCCCTTAATTATCTCAAAGCTTAAACCTTCTTCTTGGAAAACTTGACATGGTACTGGAAATAAAGGAAGAATCGCTCTTTCGCTTACCTTTATGCCACGATATCCGCAGAATATAATACTGCGTCCAAAAACGAAGAAAATCCTCAAAATTTAGCTTATTTTTTCCAAACAAACTTTAAAGTCTTATATGGTTATGTGACCTCAGTGTTGTGTAGCGAAATGCCCGGTAATATTTTATTTACGCGCCAGATCTGTGATGTAATTGCTCACTGAGTGTAAATTACACAACGGGTACTGTTTGGAAATGTGATGAAAATCGCTTCCTCATTGCCAATTTTTGAAATTCAAAGTTTTCCTTTTCCTTTTCTCAGAATCGAGTTCTCACTCATATTTCACTTGGTTATACTTACATCTTACGAGGATCGACATATTTTTTGCATTTTGTTGCTGAAAGACATATCGACAACAGATGACCAAGTTTACAAACTTTGATCTGGTTGGTGCGTCGATGGAGATCACGGACAATTTTATTTGAAACAATTCACATAAAGAACCTTACATCCTAGCTCGTCGACCGGGTGAATTTAGATGTTATTGATAATTTCATTGGCTGCGTCAACAAGAGTTAATTGCCATGTGCTGGACGATTTGTGCTGTTAAATTGTCAAACAAAAGTACTCTTTGGGTGTTCCTCCACTACTGGTCAGCGGAGTCTCCCTTGTTGCATGTTAACGCTCTGAAAAAGCTCATTCCCCGCAACCGCGACGTTTGATTATTGTAAATGGAAAGACTGTTATGCTCTTCACATTTATTAGATTTATTTCAAACACTTAGGTCCAGGATTGAACGCAAATGCAAAATTTACAAATTAGTGTTTTTTTCTGATATCTTATGGCTTCTGAAAATTTGCAAGGAAATGCCTTGAGATTCCAGACGGCGAAATGATGAACTAAAACATCCATTGAAATCGACAAACATACGGAAACTCAAGGATCATAACTTCAAAACTGTTCTAAGAAAATAAAGCTCAAAACAGTCTTATAGTACATTTGTTTCAATTTTACTGATTTTGAGAAAAAACGCCAATTTATAGTGATTCTAGAAAGTGTTTCAAGCTAGTGGTCTAAACATCTTGAACAAGAGCACTGTTTGTGCACTTCAACCTTGTATGTCTCTATGTAAAACTTTCCATCATTCCTCTTACAGTATATTTGAACTGCAATTGGTGATCGTTGTACAGGCCTACAACACCAACAGGTCTTTCCATAGCGAGATTCCTCGGAAAGGCAAGTTCCCTTACACTGAGGTAAATCGACATTCCTCTCGAGGCAACCCACAACTTTTACAGATACTGGTAAAAGTACGGGCTGGCACACCTCTTTGAACTTTCCCGTTGCTGACAGGGCGCTGTGGATGGTTACTAAGACGAAAAGTAATGTAAAGAGGAAATAGAATATCTTCTGCTTCATACTTCTGTAAAAAAAAGAAACAAAAGAAACAAAAAAAATTAAACTTTAAAGGTAAGTGAAAGGACAAGGTTACGCGAGCAGTAAACTTTCAATTGTCTGTCCCAGTTCCCCACCACAGAAACTGTAGGGGGCAATTAGGTACAAGCTCTCGACACAACGATTTCTGGAATTGTTTGGAAGGACAGGCTTAAAGGTAAGTGAAAGGACAAGGTTACGCGAGCAGTAAACTTTCAATTGTCTGTCTCAGTTCCCCACCACAGAAACTGTAGGGGGCAATTAGGTACAAGCTCTCGACACAACGATTTCTGGAATTCAGTTTGGAAGGACAGGCTTAAAGGTAAGTGAAAGGACAAGGTTACGCGAGCAGTAAACGTTCAATTGTCTGTCTCAGTTCCCCACCACAGAAACTGTAGGGGCAATTAGGTACAAGCTCTCGGCACAACGATTTCTGGAATTCAGTTTGGAAGGACAGGCGTTACTTATTTAGCAATTAATGAATTCACTTTTCGTAGGATATGAAGAATTATGAAGATCGAGGAGGGTGTTATCCGCCGAGGCCGAATTGCTTTATTACTCATTTAAAATAATTCCTAGTTTAAAAACAAGCTAAGACATGGTTACCTTAAGTTCACCTAGATAGTGGATGTNTAGCAATTAATGAATTCACTTTTCGTAGGATCTGAAGAATTATGAAGATCGAGGAGGGTGTTATCCGCCGAGGCCGAATTGCTTTATTACTCATTTAAAATAATTCCTAGTTTAAAAACAAGCTAAGACATGGTTACCTTAAGTTCACCTAGATAGTGGATGTTTAGAAGGTAAAGGGCTGTTCAGGTCTGCAAATATATGTTGTCCGTCGAGTTGTCTTCTTGCCATGTTTTTAGACAACAGTTAGTCGTGAAACGAGTTAAATGTTACGCCGACAGTTCAGCCATTTTTCTTTTCACAACCAAAACAACTCGAACTCGTCCGCAGGTCTTCTCGGTTAACGGTGCGTTAATCTGCAACTGGGCTGCACTTTTGACGTCATCGGTTGTTTAATCGCAAAGTTGGTCAACAGTAGCTGGTTATGGTGAATTATGCGTGTGCTTTTAGCCAGTCAGAAACGGAGAAATATTTTGAATGAATAATAAGATTGGTTAGTGTTTGCCTTAATGGTACTGAATACCATCATAACTAACGCTTGTCCATCCAAACGATCCCAGAAATCACTGCACCCAAAGTTAGTGCCCATTCTCCCTAGAGTTTGTGAAGGGGGAAATACGTCGCAAGTTCTTAATTTATAAACTGAGGTGAACCCATGCTGCCTTTGTATGTGTAATCAAATGGTGACGAGTGAAATAAGGGAATAATTTCATGCGCCTTTTGTCCAAATCCTTGTAATTTCCCGAGCCTTTAGGAGGGCGAGGGAAGTTATTGGACAAAACGCAAGTGAAATTATTACCTAATTTCACGAGTATACCATTTGATTCCTATTAATATCATGGGTGACGAATTACGTTAGCAATCTTGGATTTTTGGCATGTTTATCCTGGATCGTATCGATCGAGAACTCCTGCACTCTCTCGAACATTTAGAGCTTAAATTCGGCTTAAGTTAAGAGTTTTTTCGACAAAATACCGGTTAGAATCCTTCTTGATGTGCTCTTTAGTGCGTTCAGGTTTTCTAAAGCGTCTTTTTGTGCCCTGACATCTTCATTCATGACATGTTAAAACTTCGTCGCCATCTTGACACTGAGACGTACGGAAGGTTTCCACGGCAATTTTGTAATTTCACATGTGATATTACAAATTAACGCTGAAATTTCGCGCCAAAATTAAGGAGTAATTCGTCACCTATGACATTAATAGGGGAATACCAATCCTCAGCGGCGCTCATCAGTATGATGAGAGTTCATGTTCGACTCATTCGCCGGAGCCGACAAATTGAAAGAAGCTTTGACTTGGAAACCATACGAGCTTGGGATTCACTAAAGTGACGTATATAAAAAAATTATTGGATGAGGTTTTTGTGATATCCGGAAAAAATAAGGTCGAGGTAAGTGTTATCAGCCGAGCCAAGGCCGAGGCTGATAACATTTACCAAGATCTTGATTTCCAGGAGCGAAACGTTCATACATTCATACGCCCATACGCCCGTGCTGTAGGTGAATATGCATATGCAGTGATAAAATAGATTAATGATGGATTTTCGTTTTCAAAATTTAAATGAGAATTATCGTAATCCTGAGGCACTGAAAAAAGAAATTTATGAAAGTGTATTTAGAACAGTCTTTTTTGCTCAAGGGAATAGCGACTTCAAACAACGGACCAGGACGAACTTATTTCATAGATGAGTTTGTCTTAGGGGCATTTAAGTTTCCTATCTACTTTTTCGGAGAACAATACTCGTCTCTCGATTATTGCCGTTCCCATCACACGAGTCTATTAATCAAAAAGGCAATATGCCCGTCTAAAAAGTAATTAAAATGCTTTGTTCTGCGATGAATCTGCATATTTTCTCTGTTATTTTCAGGTCGAGATTTAAGTATAATTAACTGCATTTTGAAAAATCTGCCAATGGGGAGATTGCTTTCCGCTAACTTCATTGCTTTTTGACTTAATGACTCCGACGTTACAGAGAATTCGATCACTTTTAGCTCTAATTTCCATTTTCAAATTCGTTGCGTTTTTTTGCTTTTTCATGGAGGCTCCTGGCGTCCGTATTAAGGGGTTCATGTTGTCATTTTGCTCACAAATTTGCCTCTTTTTGGAGCAGAAAAAATAACTGAGGACATAAGCCATATTTGAAACTCGGTATCTCTAACACAAGGCAAACTATAGAACGACTACAACTAACGAAACACCATCCATCCATCTTTTTTTTCAATTTTCCTGACCACAGTTCTATTCTGGTCCCAGAGATTTCTCAAATTGTTCTCACTTCTGGCTCTGGGACCAGGGTAGTCACAAGATAGCTCGATAGATTCTTTTGACAAGCCATTCACGTGAGTGGAAAAGCTAATAACGTCCGCCACGTTGGATGGCGTCACTAGCCGTATGTATCCCACAGTATTACCACCATCTTGTAGAAGACATTATAACAGGCTATATATTAATGGTAGAAATTTTTCAAAGTGTCGTAACGTATTACAAACTCTAAGGGGACCAAAGGGGGGCTCCAAGCACCTCCCTTTGTAACAAGGTGAGAATATGAGTTTTCATGTGCGTCCTATATAAGCTGAAGGTAGGCTGCAGATGATGCGTAGGCTTACTACAACACAGGCTAGTCCGAAGATTAATCTACACCTCGTGACAGAAATCTTGATCGTATTACCCAACTCAATATTTGTTTATTTAATCAAAACACACATTAGGCTTCAACCGCCAAGACTTTCTAATATAACACATGATAGTTCCTTGAGGCTGATCAGTTGATAAAATTCAGATTTTAAGAGGAAAACAATAATCGACCAGCCAGTGTATGCACGGCTATTTTTTTTTCGTTGTAATTGTGTTTATAACAACGTGCACTATAAGGTCCTATAGGCACTCTAAATCAAACGTCTTGCCTGACTTAGCAAAGTCACCATCTTTTAATGAGTGGGCGCCAAAAATGCAAACAAGTCGGTTCTAAGGGACGGAAGCACTAGTTCATCGCTTTAGGCCCCAAAACAGCGGGGTAAGGTAGAAAACAAATTGATCGCATATTGTAAAATTTCATTCTTTAATCTTCAGTGTAGTAAACAGAGCCCACGTAAAGTACTTATTTGTAAGCTTTCAGTTCGATCGCGTTGTCCTATAATATCATACACTGAGGGCGAAGAACCGACTAAAATTAACCATTGCCAGGCCTGCATAGAGGCAACTGAGGCAGTTGTCTCATCTCAGTATAATTTTGAAGTTTCTCGTCATGTGCCCTACAAAATAGATGTGGTTAGGAAAAAATATATACCTGTGTATATCCTTCTGACATAACCTTTTTAGAAATTTCGTCTGGCTACGATCCTTTGGTAGGAAGCTTTTATCATCTCCTAAAATTAAGGTTACGCGTAAACTATAAAATGACTATCTCTGGCATAAACTGAAAGCATAATGTGACCTGGATTGTCAAATTGTTAATTTTATTTACTGCAAGTGGTCTGCGAGAAATGAAAATTGTCACTGGCCTGTAAGTGATTGTTTTTTCCCCACTTCTGCCCTTTTTATGTGCAGCCATATGACTTTTCAGTGTTTATTCCCTTGTTGTTGTTGTTGTTGTTGTTTTGGGATAATTAACCCTCTTGCTTACCGAGTCAATTCAGTATGGTGACACGTCAAGTACAGCTCCCTTAATTGCCGGGTCCTTGGATCAATGAAATCCTATAATTGCTAAAGAACAAAATCTCTTTACATGGTTTGACAATATTTTTCTTTCACGTTGTTTCCAAAATAAAATTTAGGAATTGCCTTTTTTAAAAACGTTCCCACTCTTAGGAGAAAAAGGCTCCAGAGGAAATTCGTGAAAAAAGAGCATAAACATTAGTCACAATTTTTTTTTACTAAGTTCTTAAGTTCTCAAGGGATCTTTAAACCAATAAATCAAAAATTGAGCGTATGAACATATTTTGAATAAATACTTTCATGAAGCACGATCGGCAACCGTTGCAAGTTGCAACTAAATTAGAGTTGTGAACTTCACACGTCTAGGAAAATTAAGAGTAAGCAATACTGTATAATCAAGACGTTACCTCAGTTGGGTGCCTGCAAAGCCGCGGTTGACTCTCATGCAAAAAGTCCACAGCAGTTCGCGTTAATTGATCAAAATCAATTTTTTTTTATTATTTAAAAGTAAAATCCGCCCATATTAGAATATTATGTTTGTTATCAATGCGTTTATGCCATTAAGCTCCCACGACTCTCGACGTGTTTAGTGGCTAAGAAAGCTTTTAACTTGGACGTTTAGAATAGATCTTATCACCGATACAAGTATGATGATATTATGATGTTAATCTGTGTTGGCTTTGTTTTGTCCATTAAGCTCCCACGACTCTCGACGTGTTTAGTGGCTAAGAAAGCTTTTAACTTGGACGTTTAGAATAGATCTTATCACCGATACAAGTATGATGATATTATGATGTTAATCTGTGTTGGCTTTGTTTTGTAAGACTTCCCAAGGACATGTTGATTTTTATCGGCCTACAAATGCCATTTTCGGGGCATCCGGCTCACCAGGCACGTATCGTTGAACAACATGATAAGAGCAAAGTATTTGTAGTTCTTCTCCACTCCTTCCCCCTTTCTGACATCTTATGTCATGGGGATGAACAAACAAGAAAGTTAAGAGTTAATTTCAACTTTCCTCAATCCGTTATTTACTAAAACTGACGATTCTGAGGACTCAACAAGTCTTCAAGATAAGGTACACTGCCAAGTGATTTTCTATCGTAAAGACAACTTTATATTTTTCCTTTCCAGAACAGATTTGGAACATACTTACTTGGAAACTCGTTTTCCCATCGATCAACTTATTGCCCGAATCATAGATATACTTCAAACTTAACGTTAACTTTCTATGTTTTTTTTTTTTAAGTTATTTTAAGTTTGACTAATTTTTGTATTTTTCTCGGCTATGGAAGTTCAATTCGGCCGGCGCTTATGGAAAACTCCTTTTCCTCAGTTTTCTCAGGTAAATGAAAAGATACGCGATAATGCCAGTTCTTGATTCCCCAAATTCAAGTTGAATATTCTACACGGGTAGTTCTTTGCCATAAGAGACTTTTTAATCAATACCCAAAATTAATAAACAAAATATGTGTTTGGTTTCAATCAAACGTCAAGACGCTAACGGAAAGTCATGTCAGCGAAAAACTGCGACCAGGGCATATTCATTAACCTACAATTTTAGGTTGTGAAATATTGTGCGGTATGCATTATTTAAAGTTCAAATTTATATTAAAATATTATGGAATATCGAAAATCGAAAAATCGTTCTGATGCTAGTTAATCAAAGTCATTTTGAGACTTTTATTTGCCATAAAAAAAGAACATCCTTTTATCTGAAAACGATTGGCTTTTTATATATTTTCCATCATCAATTTAAAATATAAAACTTCAGTTCCATTTTGTAAGTCAGTCAAAACTGAAATTTATTTTTACGTAGCATTATTTAACTTGCAGATCAATGAATTTCCTGTGTTCGTCATTTCAACAATATCTGTTTATATATGTATTATTTTTTCTTATCCTTCTTAAATGTACACCGAGTCTTTTTCGAAGATATAGTGTTTAAGACTCTGGAACTTCTTATTACAATTTTCTCTAATTTTAAGTGACATTTTTGTACTATTTTTCAATTTTCTTTAACAGATACGTCACGGAATTAATTACATTAAGGAGCATATACTTCCTTTTTAACGTATTGTGAATAAAGTTACGTTTATTTTAACTTGGTTGTATCTCCGCTTTCGATATGAGGAAACTTCAACAACCCTCAACTTTTATATTTCAAATAAAAGCGATTCTATGGGGTTTTTTAGAACTTTTTCTTTCCTTTTTCATTAAAACTATAATCTCAGCACTAAATTACTTTATCGTCAGTCTCACAGAAAAGCTTTTCGTTGGGTTTAAGTTTTACTGAGGAAAAGAAGACCAATTAGATTAATCTACTTTTTGTGAAAAAAAAAACAGAAGAAGAAGAACAACAAATAATACATAGTACTGACATTTCACAAGGGGTTTTTAAGATTTGACTATTTTTTTATTTCTGCAACTCTTTTCAGTGTAGGAAATATCTTTGCAATTGCTCGATAACTTTCAGCTAGAAGAGACTCCTTCTAAACCAAAAAAGTCAGTAATTATGGAAATAAATAAATTGGTTACGTTTCGCCCCACTTTTCAAATAATTCTGTCAGTTTTTAATCTTTTTTACACAATTATGGGCATGCACAATTTGTTGTTGCCGTCGGGATGAAAACTGTACAAAATTTTATTCCCTAAAAAAACAGTGAAATGTTTGTCATAAATCTACTTTTAAATGACTTACCTGAGATCTCTGCTGTTTTCAATTGTAGACACGTTTTTCGCGAAGACTTTAAACTCAACGGTGTTCTTCTTCAGTCGTTGAATTTTGAAACAAAGACGTCCGAAACTTAAACTTTCTTATGCGACAGGTGTAATTTCAAAGCTAGAAAGCCCACCGTAAATGAACTTCTTTATCCTGTGTTTTATAACTATGGGCTGCTTCCCGTTTGCTTTGATCATCAATACGTCCGGAAAAACAAAGCCTTTCGAAATAATGTTTGCAAAACGTAATTAACTTGAACTCATTGAAAATTGATTGAGTTGTTTCGTAAATCCCATCAGGCTAACAACAGGTAAGATTCAGGCAATATTATATGCCAAGCTATCCTGTAAAGTTCCATAAATAAAATTTCGTTATGAACGTTTGCGACGTAGTTAACATGCAAAAGAGAAAGTGTTACAAATTTACGTTACTGTTTCCATTTTTGCTTATTACATATGATCGTTGATCATATCTATATTGTTCATTTTAAACCCATGTTTTTCCCCTTGTATTTTCACCTTCTATCAGTAGCGTAAGAGGGCCGGCAAGGCCTTTTGCGTTTGAAACCACTTTAGATGTCAATAAAGATTTCACGACTGTAAAAGAATAGATTGAAGCGTTAAAGCCTTAAAGAGACTCCGTGTACTATAAGATTTAATGTGATCGGTTAGTCGTTTAACCAGTAACTAACACCTGCATGTCGCGTTCATTTTATTCCATTTTAATTTAACTTTCAACAGTTTGTTTCATGTTTTTGTGTGGCTAGCCCTGAGAACTCGCCAAATGCCGAAATAGAGTAATTTAAAAGAATACCGTTTTCCGGCGTCAATTTTAAGAGTGATCTAGTTGAACACAACGTATCTGATAAAAAGCTTTGTCCTTGGACGCCCCCAAGTTTGATTGATTCATATTACTTTGTGGACGCTATTAATACTCTAAATATAACCAGCACATTCTTAAGTGCCCGCGTGCGACTTTCTTTGTAGCAACATCCATCACGTTCACATGCATGAAAATAATGTTAGGGAACTAATTCAGATCCCACACACCGACGCCTCCCTTCTCATATTTTAGCTCGATTTAAATGTAATCAAAATTTAATTGTAATTCTTTACAAATCTTATTATTCCGGTTTCCGCTCTATTATTGGACACACAATCGACCTCATTTACCCTTCGTTCATTTCATCTCCTTCTTCCGTCGTTTCCGCATTATTTCTTACGTCCATTCAAATGTTAAAATTACATTTCACCAGGAGTCTCAATTCGCAAAATAAGACGCTTTCACACTGAGACGCCATTGAACCTGGCAAATTGTGAAGTCTTACCAAACTTACGACAGAAGATACAGTGCCAAAACGACAGTCAAGTTACCTGAGTCCAAAATGTGTAGGTAAGTAAAATTTTATTGACGCATTTGTTTAACTCTTGCCCTCAGGAAAACAACTCGAGTTGAAAGATCATCTTGAAGCGAGAAACGGACGAAACCACGTGAAAAGTGCCCCCTTAAAGCGTTTTTTTTTCCTACGACCACTTTAGATCTTTTCCGTTAAAATTGACGGTAACGTAGAGGCTTAAATCTTGTGGCGTGTCTTCGATATAACATGTGAAAGAGTTTGGATATTTGGCAACGATTTGTGCCTTTTTTAGCAAGTTTCATTTTAAACTAATTACATTATTTAACGACTAGAATTCTCAAATCCGTGAACTATTGCTTTTGATGTTTTAACCTAAAAGCTAAAGGCAGGAAAACTTACTTAAGTGAAAATTAGACTAAATCTTTAGTCTTCGACCTCTTATTATATTACGCGGTTTTGTAACTTTCTTGCAGTCAGTTTCAGTGTTGTCAAATCGTACAACAATAAAATTTCTTGAATGAGGCTGAACGGATGTTCGATTTTTACAACATAGCTTGCAAACAATTAACAATCACATGGTAGTTTAATCAGATCATCCTAAAAAGCCATTAACAGTAGTCTTACTTCATATGACGAAGTACCTTACACGGTATGTGTAAAACATCTTTTCCCATAATGATTGGCGGATAGAGCATTATTCAATTAGGGGTTTAATTCTTCGCTCGATGCTGTTTACCATCGACAGCAATCAATAAGAATGTACTAGCTATATGAAATTTTTACCTATTATACACCGCCAACGTGAAAGCATTTTAAGAGAAAACGAGTGGATACCTACGCTTTTTCGTCGACGACACGTTTAACTCGAGGGCGGTGTGGCAAGTATTACTTACTTCCGAGTGGTCAATCGAAGCGCACACTGTTAAAAAAAAACTCAACTTTAGTTCCAGTCAGTTAGAGGTAAATAAGGGCCAAGGACTTATCATCAATGACCCCAAGAAAAGAAATATGTTTCTTGTACAACTAGTGTTGCCTGATTCTCTTAGTATTTCCAATATATGTAGTCGACCGAATTATTGAACGAGGCAGAGTATGTTGTGAATAATTATGCATATCGAGGATAAAATTAATGTTATCCATAATCCGAGATCAGCATGATTCTTCACATCATACGGAGGCCGAATTCAGCTATAATTCTTGATTATACATTCGTAGACATTCTTCAAAACCTTGACCTATTTCTCGGTTACGGTTTCAGTATATAAAGATATATTTTTTCTTCCAGATACTCCACAAAAAAAGTAGAAAACATCTATTGAGCAAAATGTTTTGCGTATTCTTGCATTTCTTGCGTTCAGGTTTATTCAGAAAGTCAGCTATTTCGTCTTCGGATAGCCCTGAACGCCATTTTTTTTAGTTCACTATTTACCCAAGCAGCCTCGTTTCCAGGCAAATGTACCTTCGAATCGATAGTATATTGCTCGCATCTTCCAAATATGGTAAGCGCCAATCAGAAACGGCACAATATCTATACTGAATAATAATGAACAATTATAGAAAGAAGCTGAGTATGATGAGAAGAATTATGGAATGAGGAGAATGTTATCCACCGAGGCCGTACGCCACCTTCGCCGTTTGCACGTGTTCCGTAAAGCGTGAAGATTTTTCTCTTTCTGGGGCCGTCTTTGCTAGGACATTTATTGCTTTCACTCTTCCTATTTTACTTTTTTCATTTTTTTTTTCTTTTAGAAAAGCGACAAACCTTTGGATGATCACGATCGCCTTTGCGTTGTTAAGTCACGTGACTTGCAGCATTTTTGAGGACATGGGTGTGACGTGTGAGCTGGAACAAGAATTAGTTCGAGTTTGCGATAATCAAGAAGTCAAGGTCAAAAAATGCCGAGGAACATGCCAATCGTCGAGCAGGATTATAATGACCAAACCTTGGTACAGGACCACGTGCGCTTGTTGCAAAAGCAAAAAATCTATCTACAAGGAAGTCTCCTGTAACGACGGCAGCGTTAAACAAATTTTTAGCGCTATTTCTTGCCAATGTCAAATGTGTAACGGAGCTTAGGGAAAAATATATATATGGACTGGATTAAAATGTATGCTACCTATAGAAGACCGTTTTTAGAGGGGATAAACAATAAATACTATATTTCAATATTTTGAACTCGATTAAGCCGAAAATTATGTAACTTCTTGCAGTAGCAAATTGGCAAATTTATATTAAATGTTAGCAGAGACTTAGATTTTCAGTGCGTCTCAAAGACGTTAGGAGATTTTAATCTTTAAACTGAGAAAATAAAGTGTAATCGTTTGATACTGATTCGCCTGTTGATATTTACTCTTGGCTTTCACATGAGGTCACAAATTTCAAAAGTAAAGAATTATCCATCCTCCTGAGTTTTTACGTTCATGAAGTGTTAGAGCAGCTAAAAACTTTTATTTTTACAAATTCTCACTTCGAAAGGTTTCTTCATTTTTGGATAGAGTTCGCTTTAATTTCTAACATTTTGCGTGACACGGCCTTACGTGGCGGCCGAGAGAGCTTCCATGTAGGTTAAAAAAGTGACTTATTTATTTAGTTTCAATTGGAGTATTTTGCTATTTGAACAGTCCTTGAATTAGGAAGAGTATTACTTGTTCATGAGTTCCTTGAGAGGTGAATTCACGCTTTCGTTGCAAAACTCGAATGCAGTTCTTTCTGTTGGTTTCGACCACCATGTTGGTGTCCCCGTGAGGAGAACCAACATGGCGTCTCCATACAAAGTTCTATAAATTTAGGTACAACATTTCTCCGAATATCTCGCATGTGAAAAATTGTACTAACCTGAAACATGGTTAGGGTCTTTGTATATCCACCTTCTTTCATTTCCCAGATTCTGGACTTTATCTATTGAACGATTTGATAGTAAAAACCGAAAATTCCTCTCGTTATCAATAATAGGTTGTCATTCTAATTATAATGAAACAATTTGATATGAATTAGTTGCATTCTTTTGTAATCCAAAGACTTTATTTCAGTATAAACTATCCTTATATACATTTTAATAATTTTAAAACTGCAGCTTTTTCAGTAACTTTTCGAGTCTCGCCCACAACTACGAGTCAAGATGGCGTCGAATACCGTGGCAAGGTCTATTACTAAAAATACCGGTAGATACGCTATGATTCATACCGCATTTTTTATATTCCTGTAAAGTTTGCTTTCAATTTACGACATTAAGCACCACACAGGTAAAAAAGAGAGTAAAAAAGAGATTTTTAAAAAAGAAAAATAATGAAATTAATAATAAAACTTGCTCCAAGGGGATTCGAGCCTGGACCAGCAGCATCAGCTAGAACTAGAAGTTAACGCCTCCATCCAATGGACCACCTCGGTAAACGCTAATCTTTCGAGTTTAAAAGAGGTATTTATTCCTTCTCTATGGTGACTTACAGTTTTTAAGGTTGACTTTTTCGGGATTTCCTTGTAGAATTAAATTTTAAACTGATCGAAGCTAGACGAAAAGCACACAATGAATCCATTAATATTCTTTCAGGCTTGGCCCATGCCGGGGAACGTTTAAGAAATTTATGAACTATCGATCGCGCGGCTACCGACTGAACCGTACGACCGTACGATTCTCTCCATGCTCGTCAGGTGTCTTTTCATCGGTCGGGGAAAATATTAACACAACATTGTTCATAATTATTTATATTGTTTTAGGTTAGGGTAGCAAACCATTTGGCTTTTAGGGTTAGAAGAGCTGCACATGACTTCTCTCCCCAGAACGAAGAAAAACAATATGGCCGCCAAATACACCCTTAACAAACAGTTAAGTTGAAAAAGGATTTTACAATAGTTTCAAGAGTAAGTCTCCTTTTTGATTTTAACTTGCAATATCTGTCAATTTATGCAACTTTCAAACTTCTGGCTCAGTTTTCCTTTCATTCTGCTTTGAAAGAATAATAATAATTACTCAGAGACAATGCAGTGTAAAGAATTGCTGACAAAAACTGCAAAAACTTACCAATTTAGACAAAAAAGGTACTTTAAAAACAAACTAAAACATTCAAAACGCTTTGATCACGTGACTGATGACGTCATGTCGCTCTTTTGGTCATAGAAAAAAATTATCAGGTAGAACATTACTTTCCCCCAAATGTTCTCTGCCGTGTGACAAAAGGTTTACCCTCTACAGCCCTCGGTCTAGTCTCCCGAATATTTCGCTCATGGTAATCATCCCCCTTAAATTTTAAATGCCGGACGTCAAATGGTTATTTTTAGATGCCCCACACAACTATAACCTCAAATATGCCATTTGTTTTTAACTCGTTAATGAAATCACAGCAACACAAAAACCTAATTCGGAAAAAGTCATGTGACTGATGACGTCATAACCGTAGATGTGAAATGGGAAGGCAAATGTTATCTTGTTGTGAATAATAAAGGATTAAATTGACTGCAAAAACCGTGGACGAAGATCCTGCTAGTTGTAAACGTTGGATCTCTAGAGAAGAGATCTAATTAGCCAAAATATAAAGAACCAAAAACGAGAAGTCCAAAGACTACTGCAAAGCTGATTCATAACAACGTGTATTGTTTTTTATAACAATATTTCGGCTACCCATACCAACCCTCTTCAGGTTTACAGATGTTACTGACCTTATGTAGCAATCCCAATAATATATAGATGGAGAATGTCGCAATAAAAATTCTTCAAGGAGAGGCGGAAATGACGTACAACACAAAAACTGGAAAGGAAAAATACCAAGGATATGGATTACAACAGGAGCAGTAATCGGCTCCTGGTTACAATAACTCGTCACGGCGGCTTAGGCCATGAGGTTCAAGAGTGATGGCCTTATCTATCAAATGCGACTCCCTGGCCTTACGAACTGAGTCACGTGAAGAATGAATTTTCTCTAGTGGGATTAACTGCATTATCTTGTTGTTGTCTTCTACAAACGTATAAAATTGTCAAAGTTATAAAGCTTTTTTTAAAAAATGCCACAAAGAATTCTGGGATTTTTTTATGATTATTGTAATTTACTTTTATTTTATAATTACTGTTTCCAGGAGCCGATTACTAAGTAATTAATTAAGTAGAGAATTTCAACCTGAACAGATCTTCGTTGTCGAGATTACAGTAGGCTTTACAGCTTCTCCGTTGGCATGTGGCCAACTAACAAAAACACGAGGCCCCCGAAAAACATTCAGCTAGTAAGTACGCCCCGGGGGGGGGACTTTGCATATAAAGGGTGTGGGGATGCTCGTCGTCTCGCTTAGGGGTATAAATTTCGGATTTTGGTCTCACTTAGGTGGTCTAGGCAAAACTCTATCATATTAGCCGTGAAGGTCTCGTTTAGGGTTGCACGCGAGAAAACATATATATATATATATATTTGATACGTATATTTTTAATTTGTTTTATTTACTCCATTCATATAATCCAAGTTTTCTATGACATCAATGCTTAAAGAATACGTCTTTGTTGATTGTTTTACAAGAGTATAATACGAAACATGGCTGCTGACTCAAAACGATTATTTGATCACGGGTAAATATAATCACTAGCTTGTTATTTTTCATAGTCTCTTTTAGGGGTCAAAAAATGCTTGGGCCACGCCCAGATCGGTCTCCCTTGAGGGTTTAATTTAAAATTTACGACAAGCAACCCCACCCCTTTCATATGCGGAGTTCCCCCCCCCCCCCCCCC